GCGCTGGCCAAACTCATCGCCGTCAACGCTCCCGACCTGGTCCTGTTCGTTGGGGAAGCGCTGGTGGGAAACGAGGCTGTGGATCAGCTGGTGAGCGTTGAGGCTTTGTTTCCTGAAAGATGGAGGGGGGAAAAAAAAAGGGTTTTATGGGAGATTTGGGCAGCAGCAGCACCACAAACGCACTTCTGGCATCCATTCTCTCCCTCAGGTCAAGTTCAACAAGGCCCTGGCTGATCACTCCATGGCCCAGACGCCGAGGCTCATCGACGGGATTGTCCTCACCAAGTTTGACACCATCGATGACAAGGTGAGGAGGCTGGTGAGCCGGCTCTGCGTGGAGCTGGTGAACTGGGGGGGAAAGAAAGAGATGGAAATTGTGAATATTTGACACACTCATTGCCCTCGGCAGGTCGGCGCCGCCATCTCCATGACCTACATCACGAGCAAGCCCATCGTTTTCGTTGGCACCGGACAAACCTACTGTGATCTGCGAAGCCTCAACGCCAAGGCCGTGGTCGCAGCCCTCATGAAGGCCTGAAAAAACCCACCACCAAATCGCTGTTTGCAGGTGTCTGAGAAGAACATGCTTTACCCCGTGACCGACTAGTCTTTCCCGTGTAGTGCAAAACAGAACGAAGGGATACCCGTGTGAGGGGTACTTCCTGGGTTTTTTTTGGATAAAACCCCTTTTATCCAGCAAAAGCCCTTCCCCTGGGTTCCTTCGTTCCGTTTGAAGTGACGCAGGCTCCCCGGCGGGGAGGCTGAAGCCAGAGCTTTGTATTGTTCGTGCTGCACGGGGGGGCAGCGCAAGGACCTGCTGTGCTTTTTCGGGAGGGGGGTTTGCAGGTGAATATTTTTTTTTTTTCTGTTTTGATTTTAGAGGAGCTTAAGAGCGGACATAGGAGTGAATTTGTCAGGGCGAGCAGGATCGCCGCTGCGTAGAGGCAGCATTAGATTTGGCTGTTAACGTCGCTGCTAAGTGGCAGCTCCACCGAAGCTGATAAACCAAAAATGGCTGGAGGGGAGATGCCAAAATGCCTTAAGGTTCCCCTGTTTCTGTCGGCACCAGGGCTCCGGAGCAGGGTACCTGGACACGGAGTATTTGGGCAGGAGCTGGAGAGCTACCAGCAGCTTGGTCAGCGCTAATGGCGG